CTTTCAGTGTAGCGCTGCCTCTGATATTGACTCACTTCACCAGTTTCTTCTTGCTATTGATTGCAAATAAACTAATGAATATATGAAGACAAAGGCATGCAGACACTTGCTTGTGCTTGTGATTTCATATTCTTATGGCTGTCTGCCATACGTTAAAATTCGCTCATGTTCAGAAACGATATTTACGAGTTATCAAATTAGACATGACATCCATGACATTCGCTCAATCTGTTATATCCCGAGAAATGTTCAGTACAGAAAAAATAACGAAAACCAAATTATTCACACATACGTTACTGATGAACGCTGTTTCTCTACACGCATGAGCATGAAGATTTAGCCGGGTTGTCGCCGTGTATACACCCAATCGTCAAAGCAACAGAGTAGGCCCCAGCGCACAAAATAAGGAGCGATTGTTTACAAATATCGAACCGTATACCCTTTCTTCTCCAACTCGGCCACACGGACGTACATTTCCTTTTATCTTAAATTGTGTTCTCACGATCTTGTCGGCATTCTATCTCCACCTTCTCATCCTACCCTTAGCGTCCTGATCATTATCGAAACACGCACACACACGCAGGAATTTCTAGTTTTGTTCAATGCTCACATAACGGTCGTTGTACAAAACGGCTCCTCTTCTCTTTATTTCTCGCGATAGTTTGCTGGAACAACTGCCTGATCAGACTCACTTAGTTTATTTCTACTAATCACTAATAAAGAGGTTCACACGAAAAAAAGCAAAACCGGCGGGGAAAATAAAGTCGTGGCGAGCAGGGAAAGTTAATCGACACTAGACACAGGCTCGCGACACACTGATCTCTTTCCCTTTCCACTACCTCTCCTTACCCCTCTGGGACATGCCACACACACACACGTCAAAGGTAAACTTACATGTACAGTAGAAGGACCGAAATAACCGACGTAGCTGATACAGTTAATTGAAACTAATGAAGTGTAAACGTATTTATCAATAATGCAAATGCCAGGTCATGTAAACTCGAAACAAGAACTTAATTATCTGAACACATAAATATTTACAATTTATGTTTGTAATTATGGGTCTACCTGTTCTGTAAATCTATCTGTAGGTATGTACATATACACACACACACGCACACATAAACTTGGCCGTAAATACGTAAGATCGATTATTGCTAAGCAACATACATAAATGATCGGACCAATAGAAACGGTACAGTACAACCACAAACCGGCCATTCCTCGCACATGGGGGTAAAAACACAATAAGCAGGCAAGCCACAATTAAAATGAAGTAACAAAATAATAATAATTATCATTATTATCATTATTGTTATCAGTATTACTATTATTATTACACACAGACACACATAAATATTCATTTTAGGTTAGGTTAGGCTTAGGATAGGGTGAGGTTGGGTTAGGTTAGGTTCAAGTTTAGGTTAAATGAGGTTTAAGTAAGATTAGGTTAGGTTAGGCTTAGATTAGGTTGGATTGGGTTGGTTAAGGTTAGGTTAGGCTAGGTTAGAGTAGGTAAGGTTGAGTGAGAGCGGAATAATAATAATGGGTATATTAACTGGTTTTGTATTTATGAGTTTATTCGGATATTTTGTGCGGGTTTATAAAAATCGAGCATAATCACCATACCTGTCCAAATATGTTATATGAATACCTACAATACTAATTGGACAAAGCAATTACGATTGGTAATTGGCACTACAAGCGAAAGTTTGTAATATGAATAACTAATTACTTTTTTTTCAACACTCATTCACATAACTACGAACGCTTTTCCTACTTTATTCACAAATGTTTTTTTGAATATAAGAAATGTTTATCATAGCACGTGCCCTTCATAAGCGGAAAATAGTATGACTATTACAAAGAACAGGGAGCACTGATATCGGAAATGTTATTTTTTTCTTTTGTACTACACTAAAAAGGCTAAACATCGTATATGAACTACGATAATCGCTTTTCGCCTTTAGTCTTTCCGGATGAAACGCAATCGATATATGTGCGTGTGCGCGCGCGCGTGTGCGTGCGTGTGCGTGTACGTGTGTGTGTGTGTGTGTATAAATATATGTAAAAATACGCTTTTTCGCGCCCGCGCAGAACGCTGTTGGGCCAAAGAACAGCGCTGGCCGCTGAATCAGCTGCGAAACGAATGTCGCTGCACCGTAAACCTCTTGATTCCGTCGCGAGAAAACGTTATATCGAAAAGCTGACGCCTTCGAAGGGCGCCAGAAGCTTCCCAGATCCGACTGCTTTGTCAGGCGGTTGGTCTGACAGCCCACGCGGATGGCCTGATATAACTTTTAGCGATATATATGTTTATTTGATACATACACCTGGCAGCTATACAAAAGAGGAACTAAAAGCTCCGTCCATACCGCTCATAGGTGAAGGCCTAATAGTAATGTGAGGAAAACCAGGATTTTTAGAGTTCAAAGTAAAAAATCTAAGGTCTTATTCCCGAAGGTTTTTACATAAGGGGGGTATGGATGTCAACTGGAGCTAACGTGTGCCAGATGCCAGGGCTAAAGCAAAGCAGGCGATGATTTATAATTAAAAAGAGAATAAGTAAGTTAAATTACTCCTAAACAAACCACCGATCAACTAATAAAAGATGTGTCCTGATTTCTGTCCATAAAATTTTAATGATAAGAATTACTAAGATTTAGGCCTATGTGTTATTTGGTTAGAAAGGATGAGATATCACACATTTCTAGAAACTGAGTTGTCCAAGCGACAAATCTGCAGCAAGGTATTATTGCTAATATAATAAAGTGATGCACTTACCACTGATAAAATGAATTCCACAAACTCTGGCATCGCTTTCAGGTGGAGGATTATAATTCTTGCGATTTATTGCTGTCGGCCAAAGTCCCCTTCTGGCAGGGTCGTCCGGCAGACGGCAAAAACTGAATTTCGACCCCTTTATTTGGCGATTAGCACATCCAGTGACTATACAGCTATTAACCATCTTGAATATTAACAACCTAAAATGTACACTGAACGTATTTACAAAATATTGAACAACTAGAAGGCGAAATCTGAACTAGAAGCTTCACGACACAGCGAACAACGTTGTTACTGTGCACAGCGAGGAGTGAATGTTGTTGTTTTGCCCACCAGCGCCAACGGCTGGTCACGTGATACCAAAAGTGACGTCACGCTGACCGTCCTTATATATACATATATGTGTGTGTGTGTGTGTATAATTACATACATGTATTTGTCTCTTGATTGTGGTTACTACCAGACTATGGTTTATAATAAATTCATCGATAGTGTAATTTCGAAATAATTGTATTATTACTGTTATGTTTAGTAAGTATACTGTAATATCTATATCTAATTTATTCATTTTCCTCTCACTACGAACAAAACTAAAGATATGACACATTAATCCATCCAAATATTTCTCAAATAATGAACTAATGTGGGGTATCTGGCCATATTATACGACATGCACGTCGAGATCAAAACCTGCAACAAGGTGAACACTTTATATCTGTCAGTGCATGTCGGTTATCGAGAAACTGTATAGTTTCTAAGAGATAAATATATCATGTATCCATATACTTGTTTCACAAATAAAAAAAATCCAATCATGGATAGATAATGAAATTATAGTATAAATGAGAATACATATGATATATGATTTAGAAAATATTCATAGGCCTATAGTACATATTCTCTGGACTAAAATATCATTATATTAAAGTGAGTAGAAAGCCTTCGAGTAGTCATCCTGAATCTATGGAACCGAATGTAAAGAACTTAATTAAAATAATCGAAGACTATCACGCACTATAACGTTCATAGTGTTTATTATTACACATTATAACTTGTAAGGATAGTGATGAATAGAGATTTCGGATAGAGATTCGAAATTTCTTTTCAGGATGATATAAATCTATTCTCCAATAAACTATAACGGTATTTATGCCATGGTGGTAAGAAACATTCGCTAGGGCTTAAAATTTTGCACTTATGCATGTACTCACGATGTTGAACGTTACGATGGTTTATAATGTACAACATAACTAACGGTGATGGACCTGAACCATGCGGAACTTGTCGCCATCACCGAGCTGACTGATTATACTGAATGCTGTGTGTGTTATGCGTGTCAGTCAGCTCTCTTTACGTGAGACTTGCAGGAGGTCATGTTCGTGTGTAGTCGAGCTGTCTAGGCAAAGGTTGCATGTTAAATACGTGATATATTCCCTTTGCAGAACAAGCACTGAAATTGGAGACAACCACTACCTGATACTATTCAGAGCTACTATTTTGCTAATAACTGTAGTGATTGAATACATACATACATATACGTATGTATGCATGTGTGCATATATATATATATATATATATATATATATATATATATATATATATATATATATATATATGACTTTATATGTATATATATATATATATGTATAGATATATATAATATATATATATATATATATATATATATATATATATATATAGATAGATAGATATATAAATGTATATATATATACATACGTATATACATACATATATATACATATATACACACACAAATACACACACACACACACACACACACACACACACACACACACAGACACACACACACACACACACACACACACACACACACACACACATATATATATATATATATATATATATATATATATATATATATATATATATACACACACACACATATATAAAATGATATTGGAGTGCAGGCAGTCATTAATATTTACGCCATGTCCGATTTTCTTATTGGAAAATGTCTATTTCATGAGAGACATGTCCATTTTTTAAAGGACGTTTCCAATACTTTTTTTATATAAATGAACAGTGTACAAGACAGTATGTGCATATGTGATATCAATAATCTATGGAAATTCACATAAGTAAAATATTAGAATAACATACCCTGCAATCAGTTAGCAATTGTTATTCCATGTCCGATTTTCCTATTATGACATCTTTTAAAGGACTTGTCCATT